AAGAACTTATACCCATGACCCACAGACATGAACAATGGTGTGAGGATTGTCTGAGGGAGTGCAGCGTGCTGGGTGGAGGGGGGCACAGGGGTAAAATTGGGACAACTGTAATAGTATAATCAATAAAATATAATTAAAAAATTATATTTCCCATAAGAGTCAACTTGGTTATCCTTTTATATATGTCTTTCTGCTACAAAACTGCTCTGACATTCTAATTTTTAACACTTGAAATCTGAAACCTTTAAAAGTTTAAAATTCAGTTTATTAAAACTTGCTAAAAGTTATGGATTCTAGTTTTGTGGAGGTAGGCGAGATGTACGTAATCCCTACCTATGCCCTCAACCAAATAACTCACTAGTGTGGCCATGTGTTCCAGGGAGGGCAGCCTAGCAAGGTACCACTGTGAGGTCTGGGGTGGCCGTATCTAGCCATGTTCCCTGGGGGACTTTGCAGAGATTTATACCAAATTCCACCCCTTCATCAGAGTGTGTTACGGGCCACCAGGATAGGAGAGAAATGACAAGGAACTGCAGCACCACACTAGTCACTGTCAGCTTCACAACTGCAAAGTGCCCCCTTCCCCCCATGGCCTTTCCTGGGTGACAGTAGGGCCTCAGTAATGATGGTTCTGTGCTAGAAAGTCATGGTTTGCTATCAGCCAAGAACCCCTCCCAGCTCCTTCTCACATGCTCCCTCCAACTTCACACCCACCAATAGTGCACTGAGCCCTCCTTCTGCATCAGAGAAAATGCTTGGCTTTTACATGTTTCATGAGTCAGGTCTTCCCAGTAATCTCCCTTTTGCTATATGTAGGAAGAAGATTACACAAGAGCGAGGGCTGCTCGGGGTCTCTCAGAATTCTGCCTATCACATCTACCATCCCAGCTTTCTGTCCCTTCAAAACCCTCATTCTCTTTACACTAGAGATGGACATTTTTCTGTCCACACCTCAGATGGGAACTAAAAGCAGACAAGAAAGGGAGATGTAGGGGCTCCATGGGTGAGGTCTACCCCTGGTTTGAGACAGAGCTAACACAAACCCTGACCGTTGTGGCTCAGTGGGTTGGGTGTCATCCTGCAAACCAAAGGTTGACGGTTCAATCTGGGTCACGGCACATGCCTGTGACCCAGATGGTTCTTTCCCTCTTGCTCTCCCTTTCCCTTTCTAAAAATCAATAAAAATTTATTTTTTAAAAAAGAGATAGAGCTAACAGGCATAACAAGCACAAAGCGCAGAACTGAGAGCAATTTGCAGGGACTTCCTGGAAATCTGGCTTTTTCCAAAAAAGATTCAAGGAAATCTGAGCTGAGCAGAATGTTGGGAAGGATCTCCCCTCTGAAAAGTGCCATGTCAATGCAATGTGGACCTCTCAACCTAGTGAGTGCATGCCTGTGGCCTTTCACTCCATCTCAGTCCCAGGACAACCTCAATATGCCGCAAAGCTGCATCTGGTCTCAGTACGTGGGTTTGGCCCGCTAGTCGCAGTTTTCAGTGCTGCTAAATTGGACAGGCCACCTTGTGTTAGTAAAATTCCAACTGATATTATCGCTAAAGTGATGACCTCCTCTTTCTGACCTTCCTGGCCTAGTTCCTGATGTGAGACAAACCTAATGAAGACACAAAGTCCTCACCTCCTCCAATGGGGAAGCCATCGCTCAATTTGTGTTAAAATTCCATCTGCGCACCAAACACACCAGTCCTCCTCCCTGCTTCACTTTTCTCCAAGGCATTTATTACCACCTCCTTATACAGTGCCTATTCCACTTTTTTATTGTGATTAACCAACTATCCCTGTGAGAAGTACATCCTGTGAGCACAGAGGTTTTTGCCTGTTTTCATTTCATTCACCACCAACTTCCCAGCACCTGAACTATTTATTACCTGGCATTGAACAGGCCCCTCAGTAAAAATTCATCCAGTTAACAGATGAAGAGTTTTGACACAATCCATCACGCTATTCACTAGTAGGATAAAAAGAAATTATTTTAAGAAGAAATGCACATTGCTACTGGGTTTCAAAAGGGTTGTGAACTATCTGAGTTTTCTACAATTTGTTTTTGGCTTCCTGAGTCTGAGAGAACAAGATTTAGAAGGCTTATGAAGTTTCTTAGGTGAGCAGGTCTAAACAGAGGATATTTTATGAAGAGTAAGTAAATCAGATACATAGGATCTCTACTTATCTCTAAATTTACAGAGATTTAACAATGAATGAAAAATACTCCAGGCAAATGTGTTTTGGGTTTCATGAAACATAAAATGCTTTGAAAACCCATTTAAGATGTTCACAAAACAAAACAAAACATCACAGCAGCTGGAAATACTATTCTTGCTGTTAGACTAGAAATGTCCTCCTTAGCCCTGGGTGGTATGGCTCAGTGGATTGGGTGCCAGCCTGCAAACCAAACGATCGCTGGTTTGATTCCCAGTCAGGGCACATGCCTGGGGTTGCAGGCCAGGTCCCCAGCTAGGGTCGTGCAAGAGGTAACCAATCAATATATCTCACTCTCTTTCCCCTCCCTTCACCACTCTCTAAAAAATAAATAAATAAAATCTTAAAAAAAAAAAAAGAAATATCTTCCTTAGAATAGGCTGAAGTAGAGAGTGGATGGAGGAGCTAAAAGAAAAAGCAATGGGTCAGAAGCAGGTTTGTCCTCTCAGAGCCTCCATTACTAGTCATTAACATGACTAATTTTCTTCTTTTTTTATCAGAAAATGAAAAGAAGATAATGTAAAAGGTACAGATACAAGACTGTTTTACTCTTGTGATACAGTCTGATTTTAAGATGCTTTGCTGCTGCTGGTACAAAGAGACTCCCTGCCTTACTGCTTTTTAACCTTCTGAGCTGGGTCTTGGCTGAGGTCTGTTCTCATGCCTGTTTCTTTCTCACTCTCTGTCTAAAGTCTTGAGGCTGGGAAAGGGGTCTTGTGGTGTCAGCATCTTCAGAATTTTTAACAAAATAGGGAAAAGGTATAGGAAAGCTGGGACTGAGTAAGTAGAACGGTGTGCGCGGGAGTTGACAATTTTAAAGGGGGTGTCTAGCCCTAACCAGGGTGGCTCGGTTGGTTGGGTGTTCCCTGTGAAGTGAAGGGTCACTGGTTTGGTCCCTGGTCAGGGCACAAGCCTGGGTTTCAGGTTTGGTCCCAGGTTGGGGCTCATAGAAGAGGCAAGAGATCAATTTTTCTCTGTCACATGGATGTTTCTTTCCCTTTGTCCCTCCCCCTACCCTCTGTCCATAAACAAACAAACAAACAAACAAACAAACAAACCTTTAAATGAAAAAAATAAAGAGGGTGTCTATTCAATAGGAAAAGTAAAACAATCAACTTCTAGAGGAAAACATAGAAAAATATTTTCATGATCTTGGAATAGACACAATTTCTTAAACAGGATACAAAAAGCACTAACCATTAGAGAAAAGACTGATAAACTAGACTTAACCAAAATTAAGAACTTTGGTCAACAAAAACTTAAAACACCCTGAGAGAAGATATTTGCAATTATACATCTACTGGGCAAAGGACCAGTATCCAGGATATATGAAGGACTCCTGAAAGCAGTAGGGACAACCTGATTTTAAAAATGGGTAAAAGACCTGAGTAGGAACATCCAAAGGAAACTACCCAACTGTCCAATTAACCTGTAAAGAGGTGCTCAACCTCATTAGCCAGCAGAGAAATGCAAATCACAGGCACAGCAAGATACCACTACACACTCAGCCAATGACCAAGAGTAACAGGACTGACACCACCAGGGCTGACAAGGATGTAAAAACAGATCTCTCACACACTGCTGCTGGGAGGAAACTTGTAGAACTGCTTCAGAAATCTGTTTGGCACTGTCTAATGTATGTTCTTGATTGCATACCTACCCTGTAGCCCAGTAATTTCACCAGTTACTGATCCAGAGGAATGAGCACACGCATGTTCCAAAGGACATGTGCATGAACATACCAGCACTATTTATAATAGCCCCAGACTGGAAATAATGCATCTGGCCATCAATAACAGAATGGATAAATAAATAATGTTATGATCATATAATAGGTTACTCAATGGAAAAGAAAATAAACTATGGCTATACGCAATACAAATGGATAAACCTATAGGTTTATATGGCTAAAACTACAGCTATAGGCAATGAGCTCCACGGATAAATCTTAATATTGTGTGACAAGCCAGCTGCAAACATTACAGACTTTATAGAAAACCACAAGGGAAAGCATCAAGGGGACAGCTGTCATTGAATGTAGTGAGGGCTGTGACTGAGGAGTTGCAGGCATATCTGTGGGAACTGGCCATGCTCAGTTTCTGACAAGATCGGGCGTGTTCAGGGTGGTATGGTCACAGACTCAGTTTCCAGATGGGAGCACCGACGACATGGTTTTCATTTCATAATTCATGAAACTAATTACATTTGATGCACTTTCATCTTTGTGTACATATGATACTTCATAGTAAAAAAGCTTAAACTTGTATCAGATACTACTTTCTTGTCTACTTTCACAGAAAACAAATACTTTTCTGGTAAACTGAAGTTCCTAAACTAAATGCAAGCAACTCAAAGTAGAGAAATTTTGAAAGCTCAGGTATGTGGGACCTTTAGGTAAGTTAGGAAAAGGCACCCTTTTGGGGAAGATGCTTCAGCAAGGCTGTCTCCTTAGGCAGATGCAGGCTGCTGGGCGCCCTGGTTGGGGGTTTGGTTCTCCTCTCACAAAGGGAAGGCAGCCCTTCCCACAGGACAGGGAGCATGGCATTTCACAGCATGGTGGGCCGGATGCAGTGTGGACTGGCTTTTGGTGCCACTGCCTCTCTGTCTAGACACATCTGCACAGTGCAAAGACAGCGAAAGTCTACCTGGCTGCCCCACCTAGGAAACCGGAAAGATGACAATGACATGGCCACTGGCCGCTCCAAGCCTATGCACACCACAGAGCACTTCCTGGCACAGACGACCCCTGCCTGGAGCTGGCTGGAGCTGGCTGACATGGCCCCTTACCTCGTAGCCTTCTGTCTTCTTCTGGCACCACTTTAGCAGAGCGTTGCGCTTAGAGCCACCATATTCCCGGGCCAAGGCAGCCAGAGGATCTCTTCTTTCCACACTAGTTAGAAAGAAAGAAAAGCACAGAACAAAGAGAAGATGTTAATCATCAGAACCTTCAAATACATAATAAATAGATAAATAAATAATTAGACTAGAAAAGCAAATCTAGGTCATTCCAGTGAGACTCAAGAAAAACAACCAAATCGGTCACATTAACAATACATTGTTATAATGTCTCATGGTATGAAAGAAAAATTAAATTATGTTTCTTGGCTACTGAAGTCTAGAAAGATTTTTTTATTTTTAAATCTATCTGTTGCTCTAGTCATCTAGCCTTTTATTTATTTACTTAAGTACAAGATCATTTTAATGAAAGATGCCTAAAGAAAAAGCACTTCCCATGTTTTCAGGCCACACCACAGCTACATGTCGTATAAAGGTAGGTTAGAAGGGCTGCTTTTGGGGAGGTGATGGGAATGGAGGTGAAAGGCAAAAATCAGTCAAGATGATTCACAGTCTAACGGTGGCATAGTCCTCAGTTCATGGTACATTAACTGAATGTTGATCTCCCATTTAGCCAAAAGAAGTGATTTTACCCAATACCATGGCATTCTGAGAATAAGAGTTTAAGTGCCCCCTCTTCAATTTCTCTATAACAGTTCTGTTAATGTGTAAGTTTTTATGCTACCTAAAATTATCCAAATTCTAGAAAGGGACTTCAGACAATACTGTTCCTTCCATGAAGAATGCAGGAGAGGGCAATGGTTCTTCTGCCCCAGTGGAACATTCTCCACCACCGGCTCAGTGTGCAGGAGTGCTAGAGCAGAGCAGGGGGCAGGATGTCTCTGGAGTAGCAATTGTAGCAGGCAACAGTTTAAGAGCAGCAGGATTTACTCCTAGATGTACACATCATCAGGGCACAAGAATGTTCGTAGCAGTGTGGCAGGCAGTGGACAGGCCTGAGCACAGTAAGGATGATGGGCCAGTTTCAGAAGGTCACCAGGGCAGAAAGCCTTGGGTGCCTAGCAATGGGCAACACTGGGAAAACAAGAACTTCATCCTGAGGGTGACCTTTCCTCCCCTAGCATATCCCTGGTCATACAATTCAGGCCCCCTGACCTTTCATATCACTGGTCAAGCAGTTTGAACCATCCCCTGACCTTTCCTCTCCTGACATGTTGCTAGTCATGTGGTAGATCCCCGTGGAGGAGGAACAAGGGGCTGAAGAGTAGCCTTATGTGACTACCAGGTGGGCCCTGGCACGACCACCCCCTTAAGCATTAACCCCGAGGGATGACATCCAGGTTTCTGTTGTGTTTCAGCTCCAGGCCCAGAAAAGCAGCAAAACCAGATAAGCAACAGCATGCTGATCTCAGGAACAGCCTCACTGACTAATGACCCCCTGCCCTAACCAAACAGTGGAGACTATGACCCTGAGGGGACACACTGGAAAGCTGATGAATATTAAATACTAAGATCCTTGTCCTGGGATGGCCCCCTAAATTCCCTGCCCTTGAAAGCCCTCTCCAGGGGGAGCATACCAATGACTTTCCCCACCTGCAGCCCACACCCCAGGCAGGTTTTTCTTGCCTCTCCTTTTCTCCTAAGCTCCAAGGGCCATTTTTGGCCTCTGTAACTTGTTTCCTGAGCCCATTTCTTCTACAATTCACTTCTTCTACCTCTGTGACTTTCTAAATTACTTTTATCTCATAGTCTTGGCTTTGAATTCTTTCCTAGCCAGAACTCAAGTATAGAGGAACTGAGGTCCAATTGCCAGTAACAACTGCTGCTGTTTTCCTGCCAACATCAGCACTTTTTATAATAGTAAACATTGGAAACAACCAAAACATCAGGAAAATGGGTAAACGGTTGTATATAAACTGTGGTGTATATAATAGAATACTTAGCAATAAAAACCAATTAATTGCAGATGTATGCAATAACTTGAATGATAGCAGGAACAATTTTGAATTAAAAACCCCACAATGTTTCTATTCATACAAAATTGTAAACATGCAATTTAAACAATATATTGTTTATATTATTTGGGTATACAAAATAGATGGTGAAACTGTAAAGAAAAGCAAGGAAACATATATAAAATTCAGAATGGTAGTGACCTTAGAGGGGGGCTAAAAAGAGGCAGGCAGGGAAGGATGCAAATGGAAGGGGCTGGTAGGAAATTTCAACAGTGCTAACAGTGCTAGCTGGTGTGGCTCAGTGGATTGAGCACTGGTCTATGAACTGAGATTGCTGGTTCGATTCCCAGTCAGGACACATGACTGGGTTTCAGGCCAGGCCCCCAACTGGGGGTGTGTGACAGGGAAACTGATGCATGCTTCTCTCCCTCTCTCCCTCCCTTCCCCCCTCTCTGGAAACAAAGTCTTTAAAAAAAGTGATAATAATTTTCCTTAAACTGGAAGTAGGGTATCCAGGTGGATCTCCATTGTGTCAATATTCCTTATACCTTATACATATTTTATTATTATTTTGTATCCATCTAATATTTAATAAAAATATTTAAAATGATTTTTAAAAGGAGTAATGGGATAATTTTAGACCCTTGGCAATCTGAATTATGGTAGAGAGATTTTAAGAAAAACTTTATGCTTGAACTAAAATTTTTCTTGTGTAATCTAATAAATGCTTTTCTTTTTGTCTGACAAATCTGTAAACACAAATCCAGGAGTTTCTGTGGTCAGAGCTCTGTTAACCACGGAGTTGTGGCAACTCTGCCTGTGTGCACTGTGCCAGGCCTGCTCTCGCTGCATTTCTTAGAGTGGAATTTCTAGCCTGACAAGTTAGGGGATACGGAGATGAATGTCTGGGAAAGACTTTCTGTGTGAATAGATGACGAAAACATTTACCGAACAGTTTTCTTTAAAGAACAGAGCTAACTAAATTAATAATGACAGGATGAGAACTTCCAAAGTAATTTCTATCCTGCCATTGGTTATATTCATGGTCACACTGACATAAATATAAAAATAAGTAACAAACTAATTTCACTAATTTAAGCTTTCATGATTAAGGGTATAATATAAATAGCATGTTAACACACACATAGCCTTTTTGTATACATTTCTGGCATAAAGCAAAGAACAATTTCAGAATAGCACTAATTTTGGTCCTTAAAACTTGTTGTGATTATTTGAATCTCTTGCACATAAACAAGACCAGTATGTAATGCCTGGAGCTTTAAATTAAACCTATGAATGATAGGACTTCATCACTTTGGGCCCAAAATAGACTACACCCAAAGATATGAAAACAGCTGAACTTTGCAGACTTTTACAAAATCCTTTTATAATATTCATAATGGCAGTTATAATGTCTACTATAAAGCCATTACTCCTAAAACAGCCAATTCTGTATACTCATGTACCTACCTATTCTTAGTGTTTATTGAGTGAAATGCTGTGTGTAGCATAACACTGGTTGAGAATGATATAAAAATGTAAGATGAAGTATCTAATGTCTGCTAAATTATAACCTAAATGAGGGCAGGGCAGAGGCATGCATACTATGCAACCTTGAATGACTAGGTTGGCCAAAAAGTCTGTTTAGTTTTTTCCATAAAACAAAAGACACATTTTTAATTTTCACCAATGACTTTATTGGATATTTTCAGTATGTTGCTATCTACTGCTATTGGCTTCTAGTGAGTAGAGGCCAGGGGTGCTGATAAACAGCTTCTAATGAATAAGACAGCCCCACACAGCAAAGGATTATTTGGCCAGAATGTCAATAGCACCAAGAAACTTCACAAACCACTTCTGACACATTCGATCAGTCACAGCACCTTTTCCATACGCTGCACAAATCTTTTTTTGTGTTTCAGTTGCATTTTTACCTTTCTTGAAATAATAAAGCACAATATGCCGAAAATGTTGGGTATCTTCTTTCATCTTCAATATTAAAATGACTACACAAAAATTCATCAATTTTGATGTTTTTTTTTTTAAATGCACACTGATGTGACAGCTATCACAATACAATCAAACCAAACTCTTTCAAATGAAGTTAAAGACAAGTAAGTACTACTAGAGCCATTGTATAGAAAACATGTAATGGATTTTTTGGCTAACCCAATAATTACCCAAATGAGTGTAAGATACCAAAGGCAAAGAAAAGCGCTGTTGGTGCTACCAGGGTAGTTAGCTAAGACCTCATGCATCATTTGACCTTGAGGGAGAAATGGTATTTAGGAGTGAAAGGACAAAAGGAAGATAATTCAGGCTAGAACCATGTAAGCAGTCATAAATGCTTGTGTTATGTTGCAAAGGCCTTGAACAGAACAGGCTCTGATGAAGGAAGAGCTGGCCGCAAAAGTATGGACCAAAGTATGGACACAGAAGTGGGAGGTGTGTGATGTGGCCTGTGCAGGAAGCACGTGGTGCTTTAAAAGACTGACTCAACATGGAGGGTGGACAGGTAGCTGGAAGAGGGCATCAGGAGCACTGGAAAGGGAGGAGGGGGCAGAGATGTGAGAGCAAAGACAGGCCTCTGCAGTCTCTGTCTGCTCCACCTCCTACTTCCTCCCTTGCACACAGCTGAAGCACTCTCTGAACATTGACCTAGAAGCGCTCCTCCAACCGTTCTTACATGCCATCGTTTACCACCACCACCACACAAATCAGAAACAGAATTCTATAGACTCAGTGGTTCCCACCACTTCATCAAAACGAGGACAAACATCTTACCTTGGCAATGAAGAACATTCGCAACATGGCTCCAATCTGCCTTTCAGTTGTGACACCCCAGCTGTCCACCTCCCAGCCGATGTTGACTAGATGCCTATTGTATACATGCCAGAGTTCCTGCCCTAATGAAGCCCACAGGCTAGTCTACCCAAACTACACCAGCCACCCTTCCCCAAGCCTGGATCCAGTGCTCCACACAATGGTACCAGCAGGCCCGCTGGCAGAAAGGCTGCTTCCTCTCTCCAGCCTTCCTGATTTTTCTACCCATAACCACCCCCTCAAGTGCTTGCCTCCACTGCTCTTCCTGAAGCTTTTCTTTCACTCTATACAGTGCTACTGTCCCCTCCTGTTGCAGGCGGCTACTGTAACTTAACCCTTTGCATTCAGGAAATATATGCAGAAGTGTATTTGACCATAAGGAATAAAACAGAAGAAAGATTATGAGGTTATCACCTAGGGTGTTTCTGATTTCTCACTGTTGAAAATGTGGTACCTGAGTTTGCTTTGTGGTTTCAGGCCCCTGGGAGAAGTGCTCAGCAGTCGAGTGTTCCCAAAACCCAGAGAGGGGGGTCTGCTCAGTGACTCAAGTGAGGGACTCTTGTGGAGATAGGGGTCTGGTTTCAGGTCCTCAGTTCGTCCCTTTAGAAGATCTGTGTGAACAACAACATAAGCTTCATCTCCTGAAGAAGAGAAATGTTACTGGTCATTGTACTTGTTTTCTCAAGTATAATACAATTCTCATTTTATTCCCTAGTACAAACAGTTAACAGGCACAGCTATATAGAGATATAGGTGGTGAATAAGTAATACAAACTAATAGGGAAATGGTATTTTCTAGAAAGGATTCTTCAGGCAGAATAAACTACATAATTCAAAGGGACTAACACCAAATCAGCCCCGTGTTCAAAAACTACTATGAATTTCAAGATGGCACCAGCGAGCATCCACCCTATGCCCTTATTAGGAGCCTGTGCAACTGCACAGGTCACATGCCCACAGAGCCAGCTCTGTCCTCAGGTCAAATACTTTGTTTTCACTGATGGGCATCTGAGACAGAGGGCCAGCAGGAAGATGCCTAAAGGGATTATCAGGTCACAGATGGTAGCAGGCAAAAAGCTGGGAACCAAGAATGATAACTATTTTACAAGTGAAAGAAATCATTACAATCACAGGGCCTGACTTATTAAAAAAAATTAAACATAATTCCTTTAAGGCTCCTCTCTGCTGTCATATTAACCTAAGTCAAAACAAGTAATGAAACTGGTTGACCTCCTGATAATATTTCTTAACGGACCACAAAAGTATAGACTGGAAGGTAATTTCTGGATTGTCTGGTTTGTCTTCACAAAGGAAAGGGGAGCTCAGAGAATTAAGCAACTTGCTCTGTGCCACAGGCAGAGCCCAGAGTCACCCTCTAGGATACCAAAACTTGTCATGGAAGAAAATAATATTGGCCCTGCTAATAGCCACCAATTATGGGTAGTAAAATTGGGAGTGAGGCTAATTAGCTCAGAGGAGCAGAGAAAAACAGTTTACATCACTAAAGAAAACAACAAAAACAGCACATCAATCCCCTTTCTGCAGCTTCTGATGACCTCAGTGTTGTTGAGGCAGTCTGAAAACAAGCGATTTTCTCAGGTAATCTTTTTCAGTTTAGTAAACAGAATTGCCCCAGTAAACAGGTGCCTGGTAGGGCAGAGAGGGTGCATCATCAATGAACTATTTACTTCAAGGCAATCACTATTGCAGTCTCAGCAATGGCTCTGACCTTGCCAGTTAAAAGAATGGTTTCTCTACAGCAAGGGAAATTTTAAAGCTGGAGGAATAGAGGAGGCACAAATATGACTAAAAGATCACCTAGTACTTTTGAAAATGGTTAAGATAAATTTTATATCCTAGGTACCATATTTTTTGGACCATAAGATGCACCTAGGTTTTAGAGGAAAATAGGGAGAAAATTTTTGAAGCAAAAAATGTGGTAAAATATTTAATAACATAAATAACATAATATTTCACCCATGTAAATGTAAACAGAACTCAACAGCAGCATTAACGACTATTATTCCTCCCAAATTAGGGGGTGTGTGTCTTATAATATGAAAAATATGGTATTTTACTACAATTAAAAAAAACACAAATGCCTAGATGCACTATGCTATGCATGTAATCCAGTTATTCCCAAGTTTACACTACAGAGCAAGTGTGGAGAACTCAAATCAGGTGGTTTTCAGTGCTTTGCTTGATGTCCCCTCTGTTTCTAGTGAAGGTTCACTCCTTTGCACAGGGTGACGACCTGCTCAAGGCCACACTCACCCCTTCTGTGCTCTTCTTTCTTCTGCTGACCTCAGACTACCCAATGGTCTTCAGTTACCATTACCTTCTTCCTGGAGGTCTTCACTATGACTCAAAGTCCTACCTGAACATTTATCACTTCCTTATGAAGCCACTAATCGGAGCAACCTCCAGCCTCCTTACCAAAAGGCCACACTGTAAAAAAATTAGGAAAAATCCTATCCTGGTCCTCAAGCTGTTCCAAAGCTGTTAACATCCTCTGAGGTAGATGGCATATCTGCATTTTTGAGATGAGGGAAGCATAGTACAGAGGGTGGAATAACTGGGCCAAAGCCAGACTGTAGGTGGTGGGGCCAAGATCCAAACCCAAGTCGTCCCACTCCTGTGTCCCCCCTTAGCTGCCACTTCACACTGGCCCTCATACGGGGAGGCCCAGTGGGAGTGGAAAGGTGACGCGGTAAGGACTATGGATTACAGCCTCCACATCACCTCCAAGAAGGGGATTTTAAAAATATGTGGAAGAGGCTTATACTCAAAAAAGACAAAAATATCTCATAAGAAGCCTACTTTAGAAATTATGGAAGCAAAGACTTTCAGAATCAATTAAGATATTTTTCTTAAAATACTTTTAAAGATATTCTCCTGAGATTCAGTAAAAACAAACAAAAAAGTCCCAAAGTCTGTCATTTCTCCCACACACATGCACACTGAGAAGTGCAGCCAGCAGGAAATAGGATCTAATAATGTTCATAGCACACATACATTTAGAGTTTGAAATAGTTTGGAATGAGGGCCGCTGATTTTTTCCTATGCTCAGTTTCATACAAAGAAAAGTTAACCCCACAAAAAAGTAAGCCAAAGTACTTCATACTTAAGACAGTTTACCTGAGAGGGAAAGGTCTGGAAGATCCAAGCGCTGAGTCACTCCTCTGCTGGCAGGCCGCATGCTGCTGTAAGTTGAATGCCTCTAAAAACCAAAGGGCACACCAGCATACATAGGTGGACTTGCACACATGTAGGTACAATGGTTCTCAAGCTCATTAGACTCACTGGGGGCAGCTTTGAAAACAACTTATTAGTTTGAATAGATAATAAATGAAATTGGCACAATTCTCAAAAAGGCCAGAAAAGACACAGAATTAAAAGAAAGTCTCCCTTTCATTTCCATCACCTAGTTTTTCTCCTTGTGGGTAATCATTATTGATCAGCTTTGTGAATATCTTCCTGGAATAGTCTGTGTATATTCAAGGATATGTATAAAAATACTGTTTTTAAATGGCCAACAGATATGTTGGGTTGATTGTTTTTTTCTGTAAGATGGCTCTAGCAGGGCATAGTTGTCTTTAACTTCATTTGAAACAATTTGGTTAGACTGTATTGTGACAGCTGTCATATCAGTGTGCATTAAAAAAAACTTACCAAAATTGGTGAATTTTTGTGCAGTCACTTTAATATTGAAGATGGAAGAAAACATGCAACATCTTTGGCATAATTATGCTTTATTATTTCAAGAAAGGTAAAAATGCAACTAAAATGCAAAAAAGAAAATGTTTTGTGCTGTGACTGACTGAACATGTCAAAAGTGGTTTGTAAATTTTCATGGAGATTTCTCGTGGATGATGTTCCATGGTTAGGTAGACCAGTTGAAGTTCATAGCGATCATACCACAAGGGGGAGAGTCGACAAACTCAAAACATTCAAATCAATAAAGTTGTTGGTGAAAATGAAAAATGTGTCTTTTATTTTACAGAAAACAACAAACAAGACTTTTTGGCCAACCCAGTATAAGAAGATGCTCAACATCACCAATCATCAAGGAAATGCAAATCAACACTACAACGAGTTACCTCCTCACAGCTGTCATTATAAAACAATAACCACAAAACAGAAAATAATAAGTGCTGGCAAGACATGGAAAATTGAAAACCTTGTGCAGTGTTTGTGGGTATATTAAATGGTGCAGCCACAATGAAAAAGAACAGGTCCTCCAAAAATTAAAAATAGAATTACCATATGACCCAGCAATCCCACCTCTGGGTATATATCCAAAAAAATTGGAAACAGGGTCTTCAGGAGACACCTGCCTGGCCAGGGTCACTGCAGCACTATTCACAGCAGCCAAGACATGGAAATAGCATGAGTGTCCACCAACAGATAAAGGGATTAAAAAAGTATATTTATCTAGTTTCATTAAGTACTAAAAGTGCACTGACTATTTAAATTGAAAACAAATTATTTCAATTATCTATTGCTGCCTAACAAGAAACCCACAAATCTTTGTGGGTTAAAACCAATTATTCATTTGCCCATGATTCTGCAACCTGAACTGGGCTGGTATTGGGAAACAACTTGCCTGGTTTCAGGAACTGTAACCCTACCGGCCAGGGGACCTTGGGACCATAAGCCAATAAGAAGACAAAACTTATCTTTTTGGCAAGGGCACAGCTTCTGCCCCCTTTCCTTTTCCCTGCTTGACCCCTGGAGGATGGCTGGATAGTCAATGATGGGTAAGATTCATAAAGGAAGAACAACTTAAGACAAGCACAGTCGAGAAGGGGCCATGAGGGAAAGACTTAGGGGATTGTGGAGGAGGGACAAAAGACCCTCACCTCTTGGCTTTGTCATAACCTGAGTGCTCATTCTATCTGCAAAAAGTCTCTTAATCCTTGGGCTGCCTTGCTCCCTCCACCTGATTCAGGCCTGAAACAATGCTGAAGGGGGCTGCAGCCCTGTGCTGGAACTGACAGTTCCTGGTGGGGGGCAGTGGCAATCAGGCCTAAGAAAGAATGCATAAAGTCCTGTGAAACCTGCTTTGCTAAGAATGTTCTCAATTTAAATGTTAAGGGTCCAAGCATAAAATAAGTTTGTTTCCCAAGGTTTTACAGCCAATTGGCACCAAGACTCTGTCTACCAGACCCTGACTGAAAAGGACCCCCATGATCCCAGAAATGTTATCTGTAAACCATACCTCCTTTCTTTGATATGCATCCCTATGCAAGCTAAACTCAATAAATGCTCACTGAGAGAGAGAATTGACACATTTCTCCTCTGAGAGACTGATCAGCCTTTCCTCTCCAAGCAGATCATGTCTTGGTATACTTATTCTCATCTATGGTGACTGGGGGGCTCTGTGGGTGGAGCCTCCCAACAGGCTGGCAGTGACCGTTCTTCTCAGCCACATGGAGTTTTGACAAGGGCAGCTCAGCTAGGACTCAACTCCCAGGATTCCAGCTGGGGTGGCTGGGAGGGCTTGGGGCTGGGTAGCCCTCTCTCTGTCCATGTGGGCTTTTCTCTTTGATAGTGTATTTGACTTTTTTATATCATAGCTGGTATCCAAGAGGGTAGAAGTTGCTTGTGTATTGGACACTGTATAATGTGGGGTGGCACTGCCCACTAGCCACGTGCACAATGCTCTTCTAATACCTGCATAGGAGAAACAGCGGCCGCTGGGGCGGTCCTCACTGGTATTCCGCTCAGGGGGCTTCTGGGGGTCTTATGGACAGGAATGCTCTGTCCAGCTCCACCTGCCAAGGGACGGGAACGTTTATATGTCAGTGAGTTCAAAATAGCAATACTTCCTGATTTGTTAGTTTTTGGTGACTAAAAAAGTATCCCATGCTGTTTATCCATAATATTTTAATAGTATGCATACCATTTTCTTCTCTGGATTAGTGTTGAATTAGGGAATGAGAGGACAGGAATTAAGTAAATGGGGCTGGTCTTATATATAGGACACACAAAGAAAAAGAAAAGATGTGTGATAAGGTTCCTACAGCAATAAGGAGCAAGAAAACTCTTGCACAAAACATTACTGTCAATTCATTTCCCATCTTCATAGATTGAATGCAGTCATTGAGATTTCATGTCTTTCAATAACTGTAGCCTACTCTTCTTCTAATATGGCTGCAAACTATTTTATCAGAGATAACCAAGTACATCCTAAGATTAGCTAGTACTACAGTCTTCCAAAACAAAAGGCATATTTGTTGTAGTCAGGTGAAGAAATATATTGTTATTTGGATAGATGCACATTTGTGTTTTTTCTGTTTACTATATTTATGCGTATACAGTATAGATATGCGCTTTTCTTATATATGTAGATAACAGTGAATAAAGGTGACTGTCAGTCAGCCAGACATTTCCAGAAAAAGATGGAACTGTACTAAGTTCAAGAATGACAGATCAGCACAGGTGCTTAGGTGTAAGACAGGACCAGGCACAAAAAAGTCTAACTGCCTGTTGCAAGATGAAGTAGGCTGGGGGTAGCAACAAGAGCGATGAATGCAAGGACTTGGTCCCTCATTTCCTAGGAGATGAGGCCTATGACTGACTCTGATAATTCTCATCAGACTGCAGAGGCAAATAAAATAGCAGCAACCTGAATATACTGGGTAGAGAGGCAGAAAAGGAAGGGGGCAAGGCAAGATGAGGTGGAAAGAGGAGGCTGCATTACATGCGAGACAGAGTCCCCTTGTTGCCCCACTGAAGCTTCGGCCAGTCTCTTGTACATGGCAGCTTCATGTGGAATGGTCTAGAAGAACCCTTGTGCTTGCAGCAATTTGGGGCCAGTGTGGCATAGAGATAGGTGTGATATTTGGGGCCCTGGTCTGAATTTGAGTTTTGCTTATAAAACAAAACGATTAAATACCTGGGCGTCCCAAGTCGAATGACTTGATAAGAGACTTGACGGTGGTTGCAGGCTCCAAAGGTGTTGAAGATGTTCTGTTGACACAGATACCATGCCACCGGCCAGGAGCATCGACCTCCAAGGGCTCAGACTCTTCATGAACAGGTCTGCAGGGCAAAGAGCAAATCAGATTGAAAAGGGGGGGGGGGGCGTGAGGTGCTCCATAGGGAAAAGACATGGATGGAAACAGAGCCAACAGGCAGAAAACACACAGCTGGAGGGAGAACCTCAAATTTAAAATCTTGTTTTCTGTATCGGCTTCACATCTTTAGGAAATAATGTAGGTGCTGCTCTCAATTTTTATCAGAGCTGTTTTCTTGGGAATCACCAGAAATAGTATTTTAATATGTAGAGTGACATTAGCTCTAAGTAAAAAGAATGTGACTCTAGTCTGCAAACTGGAAAAAATATATACAAATGTTATTCATTAAAAATATTTAGCCCATTATCTGTGGTGACTACAGTAAATTGGCTTGTCAGTGTGTATTCCAGCCCCCAACAGGGGTGGGAAAGGTGGTATCTCAGGACTCCCCTGCAACTAGAAGTCCAGATGGGATTTAGGGTCTTTTTTGTCCCCAACCAGAAAGATGGGGGCAAGGCCTGGAGTGGGACCCAAGGTGGGGAGGGGAGGCAGGGCAAGGGGCATTCACTACGCTGAGACAGACAGTGGCAAAGGAAAGATGTTCTGCCACACTGTGGGGGCAGCTCTCCACCTGAGGGGCCAGGTTCCTGACCCTGAGGCCACTCTATTCATAGCAGAGGCAGTGGCTCCCTGGCAGCCTGATCCTGTGCTGTGACTTTGGGTATTGTTCCTAGAAGCTCAAGCTAGATTCTGTTTCTTCAACCCTCCCAACAATGCTGTAAGCCATTTAATGCTTGTCTGCTTAAACCAACTAAACTACAATCTATTTGTACAACAGAATCCCAGGCCATATACTGTTTGCCCTTCCAGAGACAGAATGGTAATAGTATTCTGGAATAAGTAACACTACAATTCTCCGTAAGGTGAAGCTTCTCCTCTCACCCAAACTTTCCTGGGGAGTCTGAACTCATTTCTAAATTCGAGCACAGACACACAGAAAAGTCTTTTACAGACAGATCACCTGATTCGATCCTCTCACACATGGCTTCCTCATCCAGGGGACTCCAGCATGTCATTAAATCTTCTTGTGAATGATTTTCCAATCTTCTCATTTCTAAATCACTGCTCTCTTTATTCTATCAAATTGCCACAACTGTTTTGCAAGATGACTAATTTATGAGAATGACTCAAAAAGACTATTTCTGGCAGTATATTTTAATAAGGTCAGTGGGAGATTAAAATATTTACTTACTGATCTTTTTGAAATTAATCTAGTTATTCATAAGCTTCTGTGATTGGATATACTTGTCCTTAATTCTTAAAGTTTTTGTTGATCTGTAGTCAGTGTGAACAGAATAAATTTGAGAAACAGAACTTAAAACACTTAAATCACACTGCTGTACACTCTTGTCTCAACAGCCCCTTCTTTTTTTTTTTTGAGTGAAAAAAAAATCAGTAAACTGATGACATTTTGAGAAGAAGATAGTAGGAATTTCGGAAACTTACTAAGGTGGGCTTTAAAATTTCTGTATTTAATGGGCTTGATTTTTGTAATATTTTCCCTCGTAACTTCCCCATTGCATTATATAGTACAAAATCAGGTGGTTATATACACAAAGAGGTACAATCAGGTTAAGTATGAGCATAAAAATAATCTATTTCTGTCACAGCCATTCTCAGGAAGGTCAGACACAAAATTGGCTGTCCTCTTACCAATACATTTAATAACCTCAGAGCTCATTAGCTCATTGTGGTTTTAATTTGAATTTCTCTGATGATTAGTGACATTGAGCATCTTTTCATAACATCTATTGGCCACCTGTATGTCCTCTTTGGAGAGGTGTCTACTTAGGTCGTTTGATCATTTTTAAATGAGATAATACCTCACACCTGTCAAAATCAACAAACAAGTGCTAGTGAGGATGTGGGGAAAAGGGAACCCTCATGCACTGTTGGTGGGAATGCAGACTAGTGCAGCCACTGTGGGAAACAGTATGGAGTTTCCTCAAAATATTAAAAATGGAACTGCCATATGATCAAATTATTCCAGTTCTAGGAATTCATCCAAAGAAACCCAAAACACTGATTTGAAAAACTATCCGCAGCCCTACATTCACAGCAGCATTATTTACAATAGCGAAGATATGGAGACGACCCAAGTGCCCATCAATAAACAAGTGGCTAAAAGAACTGTGGTACACCTATACAATGGAATATTACTCAGCCATAAAAAGAACAAAATCTCACCATTTGCGACAACATGGATGGACCTATGGGGTTAAGGTATTAGGCTAAGTGAAATAAGTCAGAGATGTACAAATACCATAAGATTTCACTTATATGTGAAACCTAAAGAACAATATAAACAAACAAACCAGAAACAGATTTACAGATTCAGAAAACAGACTGATGGCTGCAAAGGGGGGTGGGGGTTGAGGGACTAGGTGAAAAAGGTGAAGGAATTGAGAAATTCAGATTGGTAGTTACAGAATATGGGGATATAAAGTCCAGCACAGGGAATATAGTCAATAATACTGTAATAACTATGTGTGGTGTCAGGTGGGTACTAGAAATACTGGGGGGAACACTTTGTAAAGTATGTGATTGTTTAACCACTGTGCTATACATCTGAAACTAATAAAAAATAAAGTTGAATGTAAACCGTAATTGAGTAACATTAAAAAGAAAAGTAAGTAACTTGTGCCCTGGCTGGTATGGCTCAGTGGATTAAGTGGCAGCCTGTGAACCAAAGGGTTGCTGGTTCGATTCCCACTTAGGCCACATGCTTGGGTTGCAGGCCAGGTCCTCGGTAGGGGGCGTGTAAGAAGCAACCACTCATTGATGTTTTTCTCCCTCTCTTTCTCCTTCCCTCCTCCTCTGTCTAAAAATAAATAAATAAAATCTTTTAAAAAATTAATAACTTGCTACCAAAGGGCCTTGGAGAAACTTAGGGTACCCCTTCCTTAAAGGAAAATCATTTCCAAAAATTCATTTTCATTTCATTCCCTGATAATTGATTAAGAATGAAACGGAAATCCTGCATCTGCTGAGGAAGTCCCTTTGGTTATCCAAGTTTCTTTGTGAATCAAAATATCAAATGATGTCGGAAGACTTGTTTAGACTCCATTAGAAAATTGCAAGATTATAAGAACCAATTCCCAGTCCTCCTGCCTCCAGTTGGTCAGTCTGCTTTGCTAGAACAATGAGTCAGCATGAGAAAACTTGCACATTAAGTAGATTAGAGAAGCTACCGGTCTCAATACCCACCATGTTATATAACAGTTGTGTATGTGTGCACAAATGAGTGTGTGCACAGATTCACAAAACAAAGCCTGAACTGAAGAGCCATATAAAACAGGTATTAAGAGCGCTATTGGTTTTTATTAGTACTTTTATCATAAACAGGTTTGAAAATCATCACGCCAGCCTATCTTAGAATTATTTGGGATCAACCAGTAACAACCCCAGCAATAAATGAAGTACACTTGACCCTGACCATGGGTTTGAACTGCACAGATCCACTTATTCAGGGATTTTTTTTTCAATAAATACATATAGTACGTATAGAGAAAAAACATTTCTCTAGCTTACTTTACTATAAGAATACAATACATAATACATTAACAAACAAAATACATATTAATTGACTATGTTATTGGTAAAGCTTCTCGTCAACAGTAGGCTATTCATGGTTAAGTTTTGGGGGAGTTAAAAGTAATGCGCGGATCCTTGAATGTGCACCTAACACCAGTGTTGTTCAAGGGTTCCACATTACATTTCCTCTGGTTCAAGAAGATGAAGAACTCTGTATTCTATAAAGAATATTAAGAAATGTTTAGCCCTGGCTGGTGTGGCTCAGTGGATTGAGTGCCAGCCTATGAACCAAAGGGTTGCTGGTTCGATTCCCAGTCAGGGCACATGCCTGGGTTGTAGGCTGGGTCCCCAGTAGCGGGTATACAAGAGGCAGCCACACACTGATGTTTCGATCCCTCTCTTTCTCCTCCCTCTCTCTAAAAATAAATAAATAAAATCTAAAAAAATAAAAAGAAACTGTTAAGCATACAGACAGGTGTATGACAGCAAATATGTTTTAAAAAACCATCAAGGTACCAGTGTTGGGTAGACATGTGTTCAAAGCTGGCTATTCACCTCTAAGACAGAGGCTGATAGGTCAAAAGTCAACCCAAATCACCCCAAAATGCAGCTTTTGTGTTTGGTAAACACAACTGAATACCAACATGCACTCTTTCGATAAGCCTAACACATTCCCTTTTCCTATAGTAGTTAGCTTCTTTCTTCAGGTGCATCGCAGAGGAAGCAGCTGCCCTTGTTTGGGGGCCGTGTTTAAAACAACAAAAATGAGGCATGTTTCCACCTGCTACCAGTGTGTAAAACTACAATGATGACAATTTCCACAAGAAATTATGTGTATGGCATAACTCCACAGTAAGTACCATATGTTTTAAAAACACTATCTAAGGGAATTTTCCAGAAAACTCCATCATTTCAGAAGAAAAATTTCACAAAGGTCAAATGGCTTGTACATGGTGAACCTGGAATGCAAACACAGCTCTCTCTGACCACGCCTTTCTCAGATTTTCAGTAACGCATGGGTGTCCTGTGAGAGGCCTACAAGGGTTATTAAAAAATCTGGTGGGATTTCTTAGTTAATTTCATGTAACATGTATTTAAGAAAAATAGTATCCATATTTATTTTATTGCTCTTATTTTTATGTAGTAATATGCTCTTAGGAAGTGGCAACCCACACCTGAAAATGACAGACCATTTAGGCAAAGTCACGTGGTGCAGGAGATGTGGTTTCCATGGATCATGTCAGATACTCACTGACTGCTGGTCTACCTTATGTTCTTTCATTATAATTTAAACATATATGTATGCACATATATCTTTTATTTTTTAAAAGTTACCTGATCTCTCCGAGGCACTGCTTCCTAGTGTGGTTCTAGAACAGTCTATAATGTTGGTTTACTACAGCACTTACTTCGTCATAAGGGACACCCTTT